CCCACCCACCCCCACACACATGCAACTGTCCAGTCAATATCAGACAGTGCTGTCCCTGCCCAGCCAGGGGACCTGAGCCTCCCCACCCTTCCCCCCTGCACAAACACCCTCTAAAGGGAGACTGAGTCCCAAGAGCCAGGACTCTGGGGCAGGGCAACTAGATCAAAAGACCAAGGGGTTGGGTTGGGGGGATGACAAAGGCAGCTGGACTGATCAAGACATCAAGATCGGCCAGAAAGGGCTGAGCAGAGACGCCATGGAGACAGGACAGGGCTCTTGGCTGCACACTGCCCTCTCAGTGTCCAGGCAAGTTCACGCGAGGGCACCTTGTTTCTGGCACTAGGTTCTGAATTCCCACAATCAGACATTAAGGACTGAGTAAGGGCACTGAGTAATGACACAGCACACACCCTGGGAACTCAAGGTTTTAAGGACCCAGCACAGCACAGCCGGCTTTGCTGTGTCCACACCAAAATCCAGGGCTATGGAAATGGGTGTGTCCTGGGACGCGTGGCTGACACAAGCTATGCAACCTCTATGGACTGAAATATTCCGGATAGAGACGGAAGTGCTCTGAAAAATCAGAATGTCCACGCCAACTTATGTTATGACCTCCCTTTTCTGTAATATCAAAATATTCTAAGCAACCATCAGCTTGCGACGAGATTGCCTTAGCCTCATAAGGCGCTGCCTGCTCAGGCGAGCAAGCGCTACCCAAGGCAGAAAATTCCTCTAGAAAGCAAATAATAATATTACAACTGGCTGATTAATAAAAACAATTACAACAAAATCAATATTGTAAGACAAGGCAGTACTAGAACATGCTAAAAAATTAAGTTCTCTTACTGCCCGGACCAGACCCAAATCTTATCACTCTACTCTCTTACTTAAGCTTTTATTGCTCAGTCTTTAACTGAGGAATCTTACTATCTCTCTTAGTGACTTATCTCCCAGAAAACTCCTCCAGCCTAGTCTTCGACTTGACTTTACCCTCTTTCACAACTTCTCCTTGGTCCGCGACCTCACCTTATCCCCCTTCACATCTCCAGCCCAGCCTCCACCTTAGTCCTGGACTTTACTTTACCCTCTAAGATGTCTCAATGAGAATGAAGATCATTAAGTAGCATTTAAGGTTTAAAGGGACTTTTATTTTAGCCAATCAACACTGGTAAATATAACAATCTTAGCCTTAAACTTTATGAATTTATGTACCTATCTTAACTTTAATAGATTGATTTTAAGAATAATGAATGTTATATCTCAGTTAAAGGGCAATACGACCCCAAACTGTTCTTAGAAAAAAAGATGATTGTAATCTCTCAGCCCAGTTCATGTGCTGATGCCATCCCACTGTTTGCTCCAACGTATAAAATAAACCTCTGCTCAGAGCAGGGCAGGAAGACTTGCACCCAACTCCAATTCCCATGTCTTCCTCTCTCCCCTTTCCCCTTCTTCTCCTTTTCCCCCTTTTATAGGAATCTCTGCTCGCCGATGCTGCTCCTACCTTGAGACCCTGCCTGTTCTAGAAGCCCCCCAATAATCCGTGAACGGGGACAAAGGGTCTCTGACATGTGGCAAATCGAAATCCTCGCGTCTGTGTTCTCCTACTTCTCTGCCCGTGTCAACTTTCAGATGTTGTCACACATCCTTCCCTTAACTTCCCGCCCCAGTTCCTGAGAACCCCCAAATCTGCCCAGCTCTAAATGTTTGCCTCAGTGGGGCCCCAAAAGCATGATCTCTGAGTCTGTGCATCACCTGACTTTGAGCTGCATGACCAGTATGGAGAGCAGAACCTGGCGGGGGTGGGCGTGTCTGCACCTGGAAGGGGGCACTGTGCTGCCACTGGTGCCTTTTGGGGTGGCAATGCTGGCAATGTGACTGGCACTTCAGGCTCACCTTGCAGGAAACCAGTTCTGTCTCCCAAGGGACTGTTAGGAGCTCAGAGCACCTTCGTGTCACCCCCAGGTGTCTACTCAGCTCTTGAACCTCAGGTCTCCAAGGTGAAGTGAGACTGGAGCGACTGGAGAGCCCACAGTCCCGTGCTCTGTCCCCCACTCCCCACACCGTATCAGAGAAGTCTGAGAACACAGATGAGTCACATGCACCATGTTTTTATTGTCACATTACCCACAGCAAGGCATGAGGTGGGGGGCGGGGCCCTCAGGCAGAAATGTAGAAGGCAGGGAGGAGTGATAACCATATTTCTCCCGAATTCTGCCCTTCTTCCAGCTGGTGGGGTGGGACCAGCTGGACCTCCAGCAAACCCGCCTCAGATGCAGGCACAGTGTTGCGTGAGAAGGTTGGGCACCGTCTCGTACTTGAACGAGTAACCTCCATCTGAGGTGGTGCGGACACGGAGGGGCCTCATGGTCCCTGGGAGAGCAGCACAGCAGGGCAGGGCCCCTGGCACCAACGAAAGGTGCTGCACGGGGGTCGGGGGAACCCCAGGGCCTGGTAGGGGCAGGTCTGGTGAGGTGGGCAGCCCACAGCCTCCGTGACAGTAGTGGAAGATGAAGCTGGGAGGGTGCACGATCCACCGGTCCCAGCCCAGCTCCTGGAAGGAGATGTTGAGGGCCGCTCTGTGGCAGTTGGCATGGGCGGCGAGCTCCTCTGGAGGCCTCTGCAGCAGGCGCAGGGCAGAGGGAGACCAAGGCCAGGGCAACGGGGGCGCGGAACGGCGGGTTCTCTCCCCTCCGCCGGGGGGCCTGGCCCGTGTTTGGGCCACCAGGAAGGGTGTGGCCTCTGGCCGGGCTGAGCAGGAGCAGAGAGGACAGCGCAGCAGCAGCACCAGGACAGGGTGGGTCAGCAGAGGGAGGGCCGAGGCCGCCAGGTGCAGCACGGCCCAGCGAGGGGGGGCCTGGCCCAGGAACACGGGCACAGCCACGGGCGCCCCCGATGACAGCACCATCAGGCTTAGCAGGGGCCCAGAGCTATTGGAGGCCGCTGTGTCCCGTCTGTCCAGTCCCGTGTGGAACCACAGCTGAGCCGACGTCACCTGGCGGCTGCGCGTGTGCGCGGACGGCCGGAACAGGTAGGTGAAGAGGCCTCCCTCCGCCTCCCGGGCCAGCTCTCCAGCAGCTGGCTCATCCTCACAGCTGGCACCTGCAGGAGACAGAGGAGGCAGAGGGCAGCCCTGACTGGCAGAAGCCGGGACCCTCTTTCTGAGCAGGAGAGATGTGGGTGTCATTCATGAGCCTGCCGAGCGTGCTCTGGACGGTCTGCTGGGCTCGGGGACTCTCTCCAGTCTTGAAAGAACTGGCAGAGGCATCCATCTGTTATTTCATCATTAAAGGACATAAAAGATACAAGTCACTGCCAACTTTTCTCTGAAGCGGTTTTGCCCCTTAACATTCCCATCAGCGATGTGTAAGAGGCCCTGCGTCTCCCTTCACCAAGCACTGAGCTGGCAGTTAGACTTAGATTTCGTTCACCTGAATGTGTGAACTGTACCTTGAATGGGGTGTGCACAGGTATTTGTTCAATCACTCTATATTTTCTTAGACTACAGCAATGTTACGTGACATATTGTTTAAAAGAATCGCTGTTTAAAAAGGTTAACACCAAAAAGGAAGAGGAGGAGGAGAAGAAAAGGCGTAATTCAGAAAGAAGTTTCTAGATTATACTCAAGAATCACAGACCAGAGGCAGCCGATGGAATGGAATGGCAATTGGATCTGTTGTTACATGAATTGATGGCATTATAAACCTCATAGTGATTGACCCATTAGGCAGATAAGGAAACTGAGGGTAAGAAAAGTGAAGTGACATTTACCCCCTAAGAAGTCAGGCTGGGAGTCTGCCCCAGTCTGTCATATTTGTATTTACTGTGCCGTTTGGGGACTGAAGAGTGGAGAGAGAGGGGTTCTTTTCTAAGAAAGTTCAGCCAGCTTATAAAATGGGCTTTTTCCATCAGCCACTGGGACTTGGGGACATGGATAAGGAGATGAGAAGCTAAACTAGTTTCCCAGGAAAGTTTTCCAAGTTACTTTCTCCTGAACCCTTGCTGTCTTCTCAAGCCTCAGCTACTTGGGGGTAAAGAAACAAGGCTCGGAGTAGGGAGCAGAGGCAGAGAAAGGCAGAAAAGGGGCAGGAAGTGACCCTAACATGTCAGTCTCTAGAGCCTGCTGGCCCCCCAGAAGAGTCCCCCAAATGCCTCGTGGGAGGCATGCATTTCAGAGACCATCACCCTTAATCCTGAAGCTGGGCATTATTGTCCACTTGACAGATGTGGAGACAGAGGCTCAGGGAGGTTCCGAAAATGACCCATTTGTTGCAGTCAGTTGGCTGAGTGACACATGTGGGATTCAAACCCAGATGGACCCGGCTCCCACATCTAAGCTGCACCACGATGCTTCCCCCCCACCCTCGCCCCGCCATCCCCTCCCCCCACCATTACCTGTTGCTGGGAAAAGGATGGCTTGGGAGACATCCTCCTCCAACGGCTCAGAGACCCTGCGCACGAAGCCCCCCACAGCGTGTCTTCGAGGCAGACGCCTGACTCCAGGATCCCCGCCTTCCTGGGTCACCGCTGGGGGCCCCAAGGCATCCAGAAACAGGGCCCTTACCTTGGCCAGGACCAGTTCCCGGTCAAGCTCTGGCTCCTGGCAGCCATGCCCACCCTGGGGGGCCAGCAGCCAGAGCAGCAGCAGAGGCAGCGGGGGCAACATAGTTCACCTACCAAGGGTGAACCCACACCCTGCTCTGCTCCCCTCTGTCAGGGTGTGCCCAGGGCCTCCCCACTCTCCCCTCCCCATCCTGCCAGCAGCCCTCTTTTACCCTGCTCACCCCAGTCTTACCCAGGCCTTCCCACGCCCTGCAGTCCCAGTTGCCCCTGCCCATGGCATTGAGACCTCCTATCTCTGACGCAGATGTCTGTGGCCCTGAGCCTTATCTCCCACTCCCGCCAGGAATGTGGGGGAGGGGCTGCTGAGGGTTTTCACCCCAAGTGACCTGACCCACACACACAACCCTTCCCCCCCAACACACACACATAATTGCAGGCCCTTGTACACACACAGTTAGGAGTCACGTCCCCACACCCAGTACTGAGGTGACACCGGGTGGGTCAAGACCCGGGGCGCTGGGGTCTGCCAGGTCCCGAAAGCGTTCTTCACCAGGGAGACAGAACTTGGCCAGCCAGCCCCTCAGACCTTCTGGGCTCCCTTTCAAGCCAGCAGGGGCCTGGCAGATGGGGCCCGGGGCTGGGGCTAGAACCCCGGCTCAGCGGGGGGCCGGGGGTCCTGCCTGCTCTATACTTAGCCTGGAGGAGCTAGTCTGGGCTTTCGTCCTCCAGCTGTGTCATCAGAGAATATTTTTGGGATTGGCAGCTGCAGGCGCCTCTGCCACTCAGGCCCGAGCCGGCGGGGCCGTAGGGGACCTGGCGGCTGGAGGTGGGAGGGAGGAGGGGAAAGAGGCCCAGGCTGTGGGAGGGGGCTGGATAGAGAGGCTCTCCGGAGCAGGAAGCCGGGCTGCGGGGCCCCTCGCAGTAAAGGCAGACAGGAAGGACTGCCCCCTGAGCTCTGGGCTCGGCGCCCGGGAGTAGCCGCCGCCGCAGAGCTGCAGCTCCGGGCCGAGGGTAAGGAGGCGAGACC